ATCTCCGAGCTCGTGGGCTCGGCCAAAAATATGCACTTTTAACCCGTATAAACGGGTTCAGGGTCGGTTTACGTCCCCGAAAGAGACTCCGCCCTTCGGCGTAGCCTCGTTCGGGTTCCTCCCCGCCCGAAGGCAGAGAGTTCAACCGGTCAGCCGGTCGTCCGACTTCAGACTGAACTCAGACCGACCCACTGAGCGACCCCTCGTTACTCTTACTACTCCTACTTATTATAGGTGGGAGAGTCTATTAACTATAGAATAGGTGTGTTCCACTATAACAATTAGCCACTAATGTTATATAAATAAATAAATATATATATATATATATATATATATATATATATATATATAGCTGGAGGTAAATGTTATTAATACTGTTTATTATGAACAGAGCATTTACTTAAATATTTGTATCTATAAAAGAATATATATATATATATATATATATATATATGAAAAATGTATATAAATATATATATATATATATGTGTGTGTGTGTGTGTGTGTGTGTGTGTGTGTGTGTGTGTGTAATTTATTTATATATTATATGCGCGGTACTTATTTACTTAACGTAAACTACCCACCCAGCATATTAAATACCACCAAATAAAATAACCAATAAGGATTACAAACCGAAATTTCTACCAGTTACATATACACAGTCACCAAAAACAAGCAAATAACCAGCTTTAAAATAATATAAAATAAACCCATTTTTTTTCATTTTTTTTTTAAATTAAAAATAAAAATAATAATAATTTTTACCTATCATAATTTTACACAGACCCCACCATACGTATATACATACATGCGAGGAAATATTATTCAGTGGAAAAATAGAAAAATGCCCTGATTTTTGACATGTATACATACACGAGACATTCACGAGAAATTTTCGCTACACTTCCAATCTTTGAATTTCAACATACAAATGCGTATGAATAGGCACAACACCACCCATATACATACATATGTCAAATCCGAAACTGTCCACATATGTTTATATATGTATGAGTCCCGACGGACAAGCAAGTGTGTATGTGTGTCTGCGTACCTCATCGGGTGTACGGACATGCACCTACGTTTGCGTTAGCATCAGTGACATCACAACGACGATTCCCCCCATTCCCATAATAACACCAATACACGCAATCTACATAAACCCAAACTTTTTAAAAAAATTAATCAGTTTGTCTGACGATCACAAAAGCGTAAAACCCAGGGTCACAAACTCACATCAATCCAATCATATATATATATATATATATATATATATGCATGTATGCATGTATGTATCTATGTATAATCCGATACATGGAGAAAGAGAAAAAATAAATGTTAAGGCAAGACAATGCAAGTATCAAGAAAGAATTTTAAATTAAAACCAAATACTGATTTATTACGTCGTCTCATAAGTTGTTGCCTTCATCACAAAATTTTTACAAAGGAAAACCATAGATGCCGCTATGACCAAGATGGCGTACAAAATTTTAAAGCAGACATATCTTCCAAAACAAAGAGCAAGGAGAGAAAAAGAAAAGGGAAATATTATAATTATCTAATACGGCAAATCAAAAAAAAGAAAAACACTTCACATCAGTGACGGAGATAACACAACATCCAATATATAACTATCATTGCGCTACGTACTATCACGAAGGCATGTTTTGAAATGGGGACAATCGACACATTCACTTCAAGTATTGCAGAAAATTATCATTTACAGCCCTTCACCTGCTCATATGTTTTGGTACATATATTAATATAGTTTTAGTATATGTGTACATATCTTGCCTATATGTTTACATCTATTTTATTCGCGCGCCAAAGTCGTCGATCAAACACTGAAGAATAAAGAAAACCCGTCAGTTATTTTTCTTTCTTTTCCATTTGCTGTCTACGGTTATTATTAAAATATTCTCATTTTGTTTCTCTTTGCTATTTGTTTTAAAAACCTTTCTTTTATTGGCTATCGTGTACAAAAAGAAAGATATTGCCGCTTTAGAATCAGGTTTTAATAAGAAAAATCTGCAGAAACTTACCTAAAGTTTACAATGCTTACTATATAGGTTTAACAAAAATGGCTGCGTCACAATGCCGGGCATAAAATTCAATACTGTTTGATAAGTGTGTTCCCAGGAAACGTTAAAAAAAATATTTTCAGCGCTTTGCACATACAGGTTGCGATGGATGAATTGTCGTCTAAATGACGCAAAAATGAAAATAACATCTCATTTTAACAGATATATTTAGCAAAATTACACAAAAATATCTTGAAATGCAAAATATTTATTCGCGATCAGAAATTTATTTTCAGCGGGCTTTTTTTAATATCGTTTCAGAAATTTATCATACATTTCACGTTTTTGAAAAGGAATAACATTTACAGCGAAACAAAAACCAAATTATGGAATATAAGAAAGTGAATAATCTACTAAATAAATAAAATTATTTCGACCTGTAAGCATACTGACACATTTTGCTTTAAAATAAAAACTTGAAAAGATCAAAAACCCATCCATTTCTGGGAGAGAACGGCCACGGGCGATGAAAATGGATTGTTTATAACATTGTGGAGCCAAAAAGCCCTTGGGCAAAACAAAATGACCGTTGACTAATGCAAAAGTCATCTGCATCCGAAGAAGTTGAATCACTGTATCTTGGTGGGATTGGAAGAGCAATCAAGCAAATAATATTTCAAAATTAACTGATTAAAAGCAGCATTCGATGAAAGGTTCCCGGAATTGACCAACTGGAATCAAGACAACCGCAGACCTCATATTTCTTTGTAAACCCGGCAGAAATTGGTACAACTTGGCTAGAATGATTTACTAGACTCGCCGTAATCTCCTGACATTTGCACCTTCGAATTACAATGTATTTCGATCTTTATAATATTTTATTTATGGAAAGAATTCAAATTTCCTGTAAAAAAAACCTACTTCGACCAGTTTCTCACTCAGAAAGACACTAATTTCTAGGAGGATGGAATCAAATTACCTCAATATTATAAAGTTCGTCTAACACTTGTAGTTGCTGGTCAGTAAAATTGTAAGGAAAAAAAACAGGAACGAAGGTTGCGTGAAGAACAGGTTTAATCATATGAATGACATAGATTAATTATACAATAATAGAGAATAAGCAGTTCCTTGTGGCAATGCTGACGTCTCAAATGCTACACACTTTGCGATGACTGTTCCTATGAGCTGACGTTCTATACATAGCGAATGGGTGAGTCCATGTTCAACAATTAGGGTAGAGAAGGTCTGTCGTCTTTTTACACGACTCTCAAACATGGTGGAAGTTGATGGAACAAAACAGCACATATGTGGTTGAATAAATATACGTCCAAATATATAAATATTGTCTGACAACACTTAAAAGGCGCTTGAAATTTTTGTTCCGACCCAATTGATCTCAATTAAAAGATATACATATTATATATTGATTAATATATGTTCAAGTTTTGACGGATAACATTTTAATTAATTTAGTCACATCTCATGATCGTCATTTGAAATATATAACAAAGACGCCTAACGGGGGTTTAAGATTGATTCCAATAAAATTATTATCAATTAAAGCAAAATATTTTTTGCATCTGGATGTATTCTAGTTGTTTAACCCATTACCTACCATGAACTCCATTTGGGGATCTGTTAAAATTAAACTCATTAAATGTTATTCCTTGTATTTACATTGAGTTGCTTATATTCATTGGATTTGCAGAGGTATATTTTACAACACTTAGCTTTTAAAGTTTTTATTATTAGCCGTAAGAAGACACTTACTGTCGTAATTTTACATTTCACGTGTAGAAAAATAATGACTATTTTGAAAAGTATTTTTTTATTATTTCTAATCAATATTATTTTTTGATGTTTTATACACATATATATTTGATGTTCTAGTTTCTATAAAAATGACAATGGTAACTACTGAAATTAAACATAAGGAATAAATAAACTCCTAAGACACCTGTCTGGGCGAAAAATGCGCATTAAAAACATTTGGCAGTTAATGGGTGAAAAGATGTCATCACTGTGGAATGATAATTTAAGTATATTTACTCGTAATGTTGGAACATTAACTAACGAATCAGCAAACTTTTTTTTGTGTGTGTGTTTGCACGAGCGAAAACTTTCACGTGATGTTTGGAATATTGTGTTTATTCACGTACAAATTCGCCATACCGGTTGTATAGTAGTTTTCGTCGCTTGGTTAAGATATGTGATGAGGTTAGATGAAATAATAAGAATACAGTAAAATACTTCGGTATTTACCCGAAGCCTCTCCACAAAGCGGGATGTGACACAAGGCCGGCTTTTCAGGTGGGGTATTCCGAGCCCGTAGGCTCTGGCAAATATTCCCCATAGATCCTGTGTACATGGGGTCGGGTTTGTCTACCTCCCTCCCCAGACGACACTCTGCTCTTCGGCATAGCCTCATCCGGAGGCAGAGAGGCCGACAAGAAGTTCTGTTCAACTTCCAATGCAGTAAAATACTTCAGATCCACTTATTATACACCTAATAATTTAATTATAATAGGTCAATTGAAATACGAAACGAAAATAAAAATAGTGTTGCAATTCAAACTTTATTTTGTGCGTGTGCAAAGGTAACAATACAAATAATTTCCGCAATTTTGATATTCGATGTCATTGACAGATGTTCTTGGTATATAAATTCCTTCCAAAAACAGACATTTTTCTCTTTTGTTCCCCATAACAACTGAGTCGCTGTCTGGTAAAATGGTGTCTGGCATAAGATGCAAAATGGATTTATGCCAATGAATTACTCCATTCAGAAAGAATTGCGCCCATTAACATTATACGAAGCTTGCTTATGTTTACAGAGACCAAACAGTGGATGTGAGCACGTTTACAAATGCGGCATACAAGAACCTATCAATCAGCCGTGACACTTGTGGTGGACTGAATGGAAATATATCTTTGCTCTATCAACAGTGATGGTGTTTGTTGTAGAATCCGTTCAAATAAATGATAGCCATTACTTTCGCAGTCTCCCTTGTCTTTCTCTGTTTTTGTGTACGGGTTAGTATGTTTCTCTCTCTCTCTCTCTCTCTCTCTCTCTCTCCCTTTCTCTATATCTGTTTCTCTATATCTCTCTTTTTCTCTCTTTCTCTATCTCTCTATTTCTCTCTATCTCTCTCCCTCTTTCTCTATCTCTTTTTATCTATCTCTTTCTTTCTCTTTCTCTTTCTCTTTCTCTCTTTCTCTCTCTCTTTCTCTCTCTCTTTCTCTCTCTCTCTTTCTATCTCCCTAATTCTCTATCTCTCTTTCTCTTTCTCTCTCTTTCTCTATTTATATCTTTCTCTATCACGCTCTTTCTCTCTCTTTATCTCTCTATCTCTTTCTATCTCTCTCTTTCTCTATCTCTATCTGTCTCTCTTTCTCTATCTCACTCTCACTCTCTTTTTCTCTATCTCTTTTTCTCCTTCTTTCTCTCCCTTTATCTCTCTCTCTATCTTTCTTTCTCTAATCTCGCTCTTTCTCTATCTCTCTATCTCTTTCTATCACTCTCTTCCTCTATCTCTATCTGTCTCTCTTTCTCTATCTCACTCACTCACTCTCTCCCTCCCTCTGTGTGTGTGTGTGTGTATAAAAGTTAAGTAACAAAGAATTATAGGTAATTAAACACAAGATAATTAGCTCATCCAAATACGTGTATTACGTAATATTCAAATAGATAGTGTGACTGTGGCAGTGTAGCTGTGGCAGTTGTGTCTTCTATGATATGTCTCAAAACCGCCATTATTCCGGTGAAAGAATGCGCTATAAGTTGGTATCTTTCTCTAAATCTTTGGTACTTCAGTTTAAAAACAGAGAAAATAATATTCCCGTGAGCGTAAAACGCAATAAAATGTATGCAAAAACTCACAGAATTAAATGTAATGGTTAACAAGCTAGCCTCGCAGACCATTAATCGTGTAGTTTCTTTATTTTGACTCTGTGCCAGATGAATCTAATTTTCATAAATATTTACAGAGTAAATATTTACAGTTGCTTTCGACTAAGGTTTGGCAAGTTATTTTGACAAATAGTGATTGCTGTGAGTCTGGTCAACACTAAGCAATATTCTAATGTCTTCCTGTCGTTTAGTAAATATTGACGAACTGACATGGCTATAGATTTAGACAGATGCAGAAATTTATATTTCTTAACCAAGTAACATAATTGAGAATCGAGTTCAGAACACAATTTTAAGTGATATATTTTCGCAATATTATTTCTCAAGAAAATGATTGCAGTTTGCGTGATTCCTGTAACGAAAATTTACATCTAAGTTCAATCGACAAAAGAAACTTAGACACGCAATTTCAACTAGTAGACTTCCATCAACACGAAGAAAATTATTTCTTTGTGTATATTCAAATGTATATATAAAATATCTTCCTGTAGATGCACCAACCGCACATATATATATATCTGTGCACATGTGTGTTGGCTTTCTTGCACGCACGTATTGCTTCATTTGCCTACGAGTGAATCTGAAAATCTAGAACTTTTAATTGATTTTCCGATAATGGTAACTTGCCAGGGATTAATTACAAGCAATTTGATGTGTAGATACGTTTTCAGAACCTTCTTTTTGAAAATATAAGACTTAAAGCACAGTAGAAAACTTTTAATTTAAGGGGAAAAAACTCTATATTTTGCACACATAAACACACGCACACTAATACACACGCACACACATACACAGATGTTTTAAAACATCTTTTCTAATAGAAATACTGTTTCCAAGACAACATACATGACTATAAATATTAAAAAAATGAAATACTTAAATTCAAAACCTTCTATCATTTAAATAATTTACGGCATAAATTAATTTCCTAAACTAAAATAACATAAATAATGATTAAATTATAAAAAAACACTCAACAGAAATAACAATATTTACTCACTTTCCTTTATTAAGCTTTCAATTACATCACTTAGCGTTCTCCATAGTTGTTATAGTGGAACATACCTATTCTACAGTTAACAGACTCTCCCACCTATAATAAGTAGGAGTAGTAGCAGTCGCTGAGTCGCTCAGTGAGTTGGTCAGTCAGTCGATGCCGGATGACCGTTAGTCGGATATTAAAGTATCAGCCACCACAACTAGATTACTGCGTCATTAACTATTATATCAAGTTCCTAACGTTTTGTACGTCGAACCTATTTTAGGACCGACTTAGTACAAATACAAGCCTCCACTGTGAAACCACTCCATAACAATAGTTTACCTTGACTTTCAGTTAGCCTGATGTATATTTATGAGCAGTCTTAATTTTTTTTTTTTAAACCTGACAAACTAAACTTTTTACAGTTCTTTTGAAATACTTGTTGCAAAATAAAATCTTTACATTTGTCTTGTTAAATTCCATCGGAGGGCAAAACGCATCGGCTAAAATAAGTTTTCTTTGTGCCTTTAGATATATATATATATATATATATATATATATATATATATATATATATATATATGAAAAAAGAAGACAGAAGCCGCAAGCGTTTTTGGTTGTAATGTGGATTTAAAAAAAAAAATTATGTTTTATTTTCCATAATTATGCTACACGTGTTTCTGGTCTCGCGACCGTCATCAGGCAAAGGGTGGAGATTTCCTCATATTATTAAAATTAATTCATTTTTTTTCTTTAGTTTTTTTTATGTTAAATATTCTCGATATGAGACATTTTCTTTTAGTGTTTTCTTGTGTTTTTTATACATATTTCGTTAAAAACAACTGACAAGGTACTGCGATTAAGCTTTTTATTTAATTTTTCTTGTGTCCGAACAAGCGTTTTCTTTTCCGGACGCTAATTGTATAAAAACTAAAAAAAAATAGTCTGCGTACCTAAGTCTATTCTTTTAACCATGGACGATTTTTTTTTCTTTTTGACTGAATGGGTGGGATTTTATGTTTGTATTTGAAGTCATAGGAGTGTTTTATTTTCCAAACGCGATCAGCACATTGTGGCCGTGTACGTAACTAATAGTATTAAGTGTTGGTTTTTTCCTTTTTACAACTTCAATTATTTTTAATCTTTTTTACATGTGTATAAATATTTGTGTTTCCTACTAGTATCTTTTGGTTGATGTTTGGTAGGTTTTTGTGGGTGCTTAAATGGGTCCTAATCGAACTATGGTTGAGTAGGTGTGACGGAAGTCGTCTAGATAGTCATGTTGTAGTATAACCCATATAATTATTTATGAGTTTAGTTTGATCAGGGACACAGTTCCTTAAGGGACATTTGAACTCGTAAATAATATTGGTTCTCTGCAGTTTTGCTTTTGCGGGTGTGTTGTTATTTTTTATGATAAAGTTAGCTATTTTAAATTTTGTAATAGATAATTTAATTGTCTTATTCTGGTCGATTGGGGTTGTGTATTTCTTTGATTCTAAGACAAAATTCGCCTTGCTTATAGTTAACATGTATTTGGTTTTTGTTGAAAATGTTAGTGTTATTGTCTTTCTTTGTATGTTCAGTGTTGTTATTAATTACTTTACAAAGAAATAGTCTAATCTGGTGGTCGATAAGGCAGTTATGAAAACCATTGTTAACTAGCGTCTGTTTTACATTATTGCGGGAAAAGAAGAGGAGAGGACGAATCTCGTGTGCTCTCTTTAGGAAATCTAACTACTATTTTATATCTTTAAATTTAGTGGGTAAGAATATCTGTTCGTGGGGGTTTTTGTGTAATGAAGTGGTAAATATGTTATTACTGAATTCTTCGAGAACGTCTGAGAATGGGAGTTTATTTTTTGACTAAGTTCATAGGTACTGCTAAGGAGAGATTTTTTCGAATGTGGTTTTGAAATAATCAATTTCTTGTTTTTTGGGATTTTTTTTGGTTTTTTGTTTATCTTTTTTTTGTTTTTTGGGGTTTTTTTTTTTGCTAAAATAAAAATATTGTCTACATAGCGGACATATATCTTAGGTTTAGTAACTTTTTTAAATATCGTGTTTTCTACGTGGGACATATAATTGTTAGAGAAACACGGGCTGAGTTGATTTCCCATGCTAATACAATTAGTTTGGGTGTAGATATCACAACTTTGGTTGTGCAATCAAATTTTGAGGATATTTGGTGTGATGAATGAAGATGGAATGGAATTATTTTTATGAAGTTGAGGATTATATCGAAGGTTTCATAGAGGAGACGTTTATAAATACATTTTAAACGTTGAATGAAGTTAAAATACCATCGCGATGGTAATTTAGTGTCACTAGACACTGAAAATTTAGTGGGGTATGAATAATTTCTGGTTTAACTATACATATATTATTTTCAGAAATTACCTTCGGACACAGACAAATTTATATATATATATATATATATATATATATATATATATATATATATATAATCAAATTAATAAATATAAATAAAAGTAAGTGTAAGTGTTCACATACAAATATATACATATATCCTTTGGTTTAAGAAAAACAGTGCTCAGTGCTAAATAACAAAGCTATTAAGTATATATTAATAAAAATACTCTATGCCGACAGTACGGCTCGGAGTTTCATGCTGAATGCAATCTTCAGGTACGGATTGTTGCTTACAGTTTCGTTAATATTTCGAGATCTCGCGAGTTTGATGTGTTGTTTGGATGAATTTTTATTGTTGTTAAATAATAAATTGAACTATATATATAATTTTGAATTTAAATTTAGGCTCAAACTTACACTTAAAGTTGAAAGAATTCCTAATTCTAATGTTCCTTTAAAAATGACCTTTTTGTACGCTGTTGTAAATATACGTTTGAAAATCAAGTGTAGATAACTATTTTTCCTTAAAAAATAGTTAATGATAAAATTAATAAAAATTAATAAAATGATTTGCAGTGATAAAATGATAATTAAAAAAAATCATAATAATAGTATAATAATAATAATGTAAAAGTAATATTTATAATAGTAATAAGAAAAAGAATAATGGTGATTTAGTAAAAATAGTAAAAATAAAATAAGTCATGGTAATAATAACATTAATAAAATATTAATCTGAGTCACCGTGCTTGAGTAGGAATTTATTTTTAAGTATGCAAGTGCACATTAATTCACTGCTTTTGTTTAACAAATTAGGTTTGCCTATATTTTTAGGACCATTAACTTCTCAGAAAGACATAAGCTACATTTATCGCCTTAACCGCTGAAGGGTTTATTTTCTTTACGCAATCCCAGATGATAGTTGGGTTTCTATTCTCGCTTTTCATTTTCC